TCACTTGAGGATTCCTCATCAAGATCGCAGCAGATTTCATTGAGTTTCTGTGGAGTTCGATCATCCCACAAGGTAATCCTTTCTTTCATTCTCCTTCGCCTACGCATCATCTGTTTTCAGTAACCAAGAGTTTTGCTACTCGATTTTTGTCTCCGCGTTATTTTTTCTCTTTTCGGTATTTTCCTGTTCATGCGTTGTTCATTCAAATCTGGGCTTCATACTTTGGGTCCTATGTTATGGTGAGTCATGAAGTTTCTTTTTGTGTAGAAGATTTTCCATGTTTTTTTTTAGTTGTAGCGAACCCAGTAGATGACAGGACTTTTTCTCGTCAGATTTGCATGTTGAATTTTATTCTGTTTTTTTTTTATTTCTTTGCCTGGATTCTGTTGGAATTAAGAGATGACAAGGAAGCTCACTAATTTCGTTGTTTTTGTAAGTTCAGTGACATGTAATTAGAATCTTGTCTTTGGGTTTCCTTGTTGAGGACTTATGAATAAAAGATGTCAGTTTGCTTCCATCCGTGAACCTGGAGAGATGTTTGCTATGTGTGCTCAGTTTTTTGCTCGTTCTTGATTATAAAATTGTGGTTTGGGCCTTAGATTCTTATCTTATGAATTTTTTTTGAAGTTTCGGCAGAAGGTTTAAGGCATTTTGGGTTGTGTTTTGATAAGCTGCAAAATGCGCAGCAGGACAAAAAAAAAAAAAAAAGCTTTCGTATTTTTTTTACTGTTTTCTTCCCTGCAACTGCCTACCAAAGTTTCGGCCATCCATTTTGCTGGTTGGGTTTGTACGTTTTGGGTTTTGGAGTGTTGGTTGAGAGGAATTGGATAAGGGGGGGTTAGGTTTGTGTGTTTGGGGCTGAAATGCTTGAATCATGTTTGAATACTTGCTAAAAAAATGAATTTTAGGTTGCCAAACCATTTTTTACATGAATGTCTTGTCCAGTATTTTTGCATCAGTTTTTTATGTTTCTTGTTTGTTTGGATGTTCAACCATGTTTGACGGGAGTAATTTCAAAGTTGTTGTATGCATCTGCTCTGCTGAAATTGCAGAACTTTGTACATGCAAATTAGGCTGTAGAATCGTGCTGAAGGCTTCATCAGTTGCCAAAGCCTTCAGTTGCAGCAATCTTCTTCCTTCTTTTGCTGTTTAGTTTTCTTTCTACCCTTGATGATCAGCTCCATTTTCTTGTTTCAATCCTGCAATGAAGTTACATGTTTAGTTGATGATTGATAGTCAAAATCCTGGCATGTGGTGAACATATTTGAATGTTGAAATGGAAGGAAAGCCTTGGCAGAAACCCAGCAACCAGAAATGAAGGAAGCCATTCGTATGCATGCATGAAATAAATTCTGAATTTTACACTTTGACCCCCCCAAGTCTCCCTTTGTTGCATTGGGGCCCAATTATGTGTTGATTTCTTGCAATTAGGTCTTAGAGGGATTGAAATTTCAATCATTACTTGACCTTTTCTTGCTCTTGGACCTTTAAAGTTCCTAAAATGTTTCAATTGGCCTTGATTGATTGGTTAATGGTTGCTATTGGGTCCTTAGTCATTTTTCTATTTTAGAAATTTGATCAATAATTTACTTTCATTGAAATTAAGCATCTTTTGACTACATTTAAGTCGCAATTAGGGAAGAATTTGGTGGTTTGTTAGTACCCCTTTTGAAGTTTCTAAGGTGTTCTGAGTTTCCTTTTTGCCTTTTATTCTACTTATCTTTAAAATGGTGCATTAATCCCTTGTTTTGATGGTTTTAGCCCAAGTTATCTCTTTCTTTGGTGACTCTAGCCCAAGTTAAGTCTTGTTCACTTTACTAACATCACAAACGGGGAGGTATAAATTCTTTTATCCTTTTTGTCTCTCCCCTATGTGATCTAACGTGTTAAGTGAGAATTGCATGTCTACTTGATTTTCTTTGCTTTTCCTTAATTCTTTTCATTTATTTCATTTACTTTTGCTTTTATTAAGTCATTCTTTTATTTATTTATGGGGTATGTGTACACCTCTTGGCTTGTAATAGATAGGGCTTGGAGAGCATTTTTATTCATTTTTCCTCTTCCCCATTTGTTTTAGTTAGCAAATGTAATAGGTTCATTAGCTTGATTGCTTGCTTTTGTTGCTACGTGTTAATTTGCTTTATTAGGCTCTTGCATTTAGTCGAGCATGCTAAGTGTTATGTGCTACGTGTTTATAGGTGATTGGCATGTCTACTTGCTTTCTATAGTCGTAGATGAATATGATGGATGAATGCACGTCACCACACTAGTCCAACGCTAGTTGTGGTTCATTGTCCCGTTTTCCACTAGTCCAACGCTAGTAAGAATTCATAGATATGGGTTAGTCCAATGCTAGACCCTTAGGGATCTCCCTCGCTAGTACATACTTGCATGTCTCACTACATTTCATGCATTTTTCTTAGTTTTCTAGCATTTGGCATGCCCCTCCAACCCTTTCCCTTTCATTTTAGGCTTTTTGCATCTTCATGCTAGTTATAGGGTACATTTGTTTGAGAGTCCCCTTTCGGTAAGAGAAACGAGCGAGTGTGGCTACAAAATAGCCTTCGCATGCTAGTTCTTCCTTCTAATCAAAGGAAAAATTAAAATCGTGAAATTAGGAGTCATTCCCGTACCCGACTTGATGCATTCCTTTAGGTTCATACACTCTCATTTTATCATATCACTTCCTCACTTTCTTTATCCACATTTTCTCACTACTTATATATTTTTTTTTCTCAATCCACATGCCATGTTTGTACATTTTTCTTTCCCTATCACTTATTTATTTTCTACCTCACAAATTGCACCCAATTGCACTTATATGCATTTATTACTATTATACCATATTTTCCTCCACTTGCACACAAACACCTTTATTTGCTCAATTGGCACACATGCACTTTTCTTACATTTGCACACATGCACTTTTCTTACATTTGCACACTTGCACTTACATTTGTATTTGTATTTTTATTTTTATTTTATTTTACATTTTTCTTACATTTTCACACTTGCACTCATGTTTGGGTCTTCATTTGCATTACCCGTGACCTCTATGAGAGTTTTTCTTACTGGCCGTCACAACTCATGTGATTGGGACCAAAAAACCTCATAAGAGACATTTTAGATTTAGGATTGCATTTTTCTTTTTTCGCATCCATTAGTCATATCCAACATGCAACACATACTTTGGATAGAAGAATTAGGAAAAGAAGGGCTAAGTCACGCAACTAGCTTTGGCTAGGGTAAGGGAGTGCTTTAGCCTTTGCCTTTACCTTCTCCCTTATCAAATGTGACCCCCGATCCCTTTCTTTGGTTACGTAGATCTAAAAAATTCTTTAAAAAGGGTTTGTTTACTTTTCTTTTCCAAAAAAATCACTTTTTGGGTGACTTGGTACACCCTAACTCTATACCAAGTGGTGACTCCTTTTCTATCTAAAACCCTTTGTGTGGCCAAACCGTCGCATTTCGCAATCCCACGGTCTTTTATTTTTACTTTCACACACGTTCACATACTTATCCTACACACTATTTTCACACCTTCAAAAAGTGGGGCGCGACAGTGGCCAAGAAGACCCGAACTGAGGTGACTTCCTCTCACCCCCAGGAGGGGCCATCAGCTGCCCTCGCCACTCACTACGGGGTGAACACTGCTGAACAGCAGGCCTCGTCAGAGTCGCCACCGGTTATGTGGCGTATGAGGAACGTGATTCCTCTGAAACCCCCTGCCAAACTGGGCACACACCTGTACCTCCTGCACTTCTGCCCAAAGTAGGGGTTGTCGGTGAATGCCGAGCCCAGTTCCCGGAAGTAGCTCGGGAACTACTTAGGGACAAGGTGCTCCCACGTGATCACCACTTCATCCAACTCGCGTCCAACTCTTAGCTGCTGGAGCACTACTACCTGATTGCAGCTCAGGTACCTCCTTAACTAGTTGTGCTTCAATGAAATTCCTTTAACTTGCTGGTTTCTTATTCTGTGTTTGATCTGCAGCTCAACGTCGCTAGTGCCGAGCTAGCGCAGCGGTACGAAAACATGGGAAGAATCTCTCCCATGCTGATGCTGTCAAGGATAGGCAGTCCAGTCAGCTTGAGGCAGAGCTGGAGTCCATGAAAAAGCAGCTCGCCGAGTCTCAGGCCACTTGCGAGATGGAGAAGAAGAAAACGGCCGAGCTGACCACGTAGCTGGAAACAGAGCAGAAGAAATCCGCCGAGCTGCCTGGTCAGATCGAAGCGGCTCGCGAGGAGAGTCGCCTGCTAAGGGTCAGGGACTTCAAGAAATTTGAGGATTTCATAAAGGATCTAGCCATTCTTAATGGGTCGGTCCTGCAGGTTGGATATGCTCAGGTTATGCACGATGTGCAATCTCTGAACCTGCTCGAGTTTGACCTGAGCAAGTGGCCTGAGTACAACCCTCAGGCAGTGCACCAGATCGACAGGCTCGTGGAGCGCTACGCTCATGGACGCGACCTGGCCGCGCTGGTGGCAGACCCTACCCTGCCTACAACCTCTCCCGAGCACGAGCAGGAGCAGCAGGGAGAAAATTAGGCAGTGCTCAGTATAGGTGTTAGATAGAATGTAGAGCAGGGTCCGAGCTGGCCAACTCGTTTTTGTATGGCCCCTCTTGTGTACATCTTTTTGAAAAATGAAATAGATGATCTTTTCTTCCAACACTTAGTAAAAATTCTTTATTTCTTTCTAGAATCTTGAATACATTCTGATGAGTCCAAGCACCAAGCTAACAAATCGACGAGCTGACCTCTCCAGCTGTTACCTAAACTCCACATAAAAAACTTCCTAACTTACCCACTTTCAGCTCGGGCCGAGCTCTAGCGAAAGAGCCTTAAATTCGAATTGTGTCAGGTGCGTGGGACTTCATCCCCATTGAGATGAGCTAACTTACAGTACCCTGCGCGATCAGCTTCTTTCACCACTTAGGGACCCTCCCAATTTGGGTCTAGCTTGCCCGTGCCTCCAGCTCGACTTACGGAGTTTTTTTCGTTATACCAGGTCCCCTGGCTTGAAGGAGAGGTGCCTTACTCTAGCGTTGTAGTATCGCATGACCTGACCTTTGTACTTAGCCATTCTTGTGTACGCTTCTTCCCTGCGGCACTCGAGCAAGTCTAGGTTGAGCCGCATCTCCTTCTCGTTATTCTGGCCCATAAAATGTTGCACCCTGCTTGAGAGTACTCCAATTTCTGCCGGAATTACTGTTTCAGCCACATTTGTCAAGGCAAACGGGGTTCCCTGGGTGACCGTCCAAGGTGTAGTCCGGTAAGCCCATAATATGGTGGACAACTCATCCAGCCAGCCTGTCCGAGTAGACTATTCGTGTCTTCAAGCCGTGCAGAATAGTTCTGTTGGCATTCTCAACCTGTCCATTAGCTTGTGGGTGCCCTACGGAAGTGAAGTGCTGTTGGATGCCGAGCTTGGAACACCACTCCTGGAGGGAAATATCCGCGAACTGTCGGCCATTATCCAAGACTAGGACTTGGGGTATGCCAAATCGGTAGACTATGTTCTTCCAAAGGAATTTCTGGATCGACCTGTTATTGATTGTGCTAAGTGGCTCGGCCTCTATCCATTTAGTAAATTAGTCAATCGCCACCACCAGATGCTCATAACCTCCTGAAGCTCAGGGAAACGGGTCTAACAGGTCGATTTCTCATTGGAAGAACGGCCACGGGGTATGAAGAGGAATCATCTCCTGAGTTGAGGCATGGTGAATTGGAGCGTGCAACTGGCATGACATACATCTTGCCACCAGCTCAGCCGAGTCCCGGAAGATGGTGGGCCAATAGTATCCAGATAACATTCCCTTCTTGGCCAATACCCTTGGTTCGACGTGATTACCACAAATGCCCTCGTGCAGCTCGCGCAAGACATAACTCCCTTCCTCTGGTGTTACGCACTTTAGTTATGGCTGCAAGTAGAGTTTCCTATATAGTACTCCCTGCATGAGCACATACTTCTGTGACCTGAGAAGAACTTTACGGGCCTCTGTCCTGCTCGGAGGGAGCTCTCCATGAGTTAGGTACTGGACAATGGGGTCCATCCAAGAGCTTGCTACCTGGATGACTGTGCTCATACGCCCAACTTTTAACGACCTCCACCAATATTTCTCGATTTAGAGTACTAAACGAGGTAGAGGCTAGCTTGAACAGGGCATCAGCTCTCTTGTTTTGGTTCCGTGGGATCTGCTCGAGCGTAAATTGCTTGAACTAATCTTTCAACTCATGTGTCTTGGCGACATACTTCCTCAGTGGCCCCTCCTTAACCTCGTAGCTCCCTCATACCTGGTTCACTATCAGCTGCGAATCGCTGTAGACTGTTATTGATTCAGCCCCTAATTTTCGAGCTATCTCCATTCCCGCAATCAGAGAATCATATTCAGATTTATTATTAGAGACTCTAAAATCGAACCGCGGGCGTAGGCCAGCTCGTTCCCAGTAGGGCTGATTAGGAGGAGACCTACTCCACATCCTTCCTTACTTGATGCGCCGTCCACGTACAGCGTCCAGACCGGATCTGTTTGCCTGCAACCTCTATAACCTTTCTGGACTGGGCAGCCCCTCTGGCCAGTTCGGCCTTGACTGCTCCTCCAGAATGCATGACCTCGGTAGCCTCTCCAGCCGGTCTGACCTTAGATGCCTCTCTGGCCTGTTCGGCCTCAGCAGCTTCTCGGGTCTGCTCGGCCTCAGTTACTTCTCTGGCCTGTTCGATCTCGACAGTCTCCCTGGCCTGCTCGGTCTCAGCTGCTTCTCTGGCCTGTTCGATCTCGACAGCCTCTCTGGCCTGCTCGGCCTCGGCTGTTTCTCCGGCCTGTTCGACCTCTGCTACCTTATTGGTCTGGGCAACCTTGGCAGTGTTTTCAGCCTGCAAGACCTCGACTGCCTCTTGGGTCTGTGCAGCCTTGGTAGTTTCTTGGGCTTGTAGGGTTTCGGCTGCTTGTCTGGTGTGTGCGTCCCTAGCAGTTTCTTTGGCTTTCCCAGCCTTACCTGCTTCTTTGGTCTGGTCGACTTTAATTTCGGATGATCCAATGGAAACGCCTTCTGCTATGAAGTCTGCCAGGGCTTGGACTTTGATGGCCGTCCTCGGCTGGTACCCGAGATCATACTCCGACAGCTCTACAGCCCACTTCACCATTCGCCCCGAGACATCAGGCTTAGAAAGGATCTGCTTCAGGGGCTGGTCCGTCACCACTACTATGGGGTGAATTGGAAGTACGACCTGTGTTTCCGAATTGCATGAACTAATGTCAAGACATATCGCTCTACTGCCGAATACCTCATTTCGGCCCCCTATAAGGCGCGGCTAACATAGTATATGGGTTTCTGAACTTTGTTTTCCTCTCATACCAGCACCGCGCTAACGACCTCCTCCCCCACAGCTAAATGGAGGAACAGGATTTCCCATACTCGGGAGAGGTTAGAGCCAGCAACAGAGCAAGGTGGGCTTTTAGCTCGTCAAATGCTTTTTGGCACTTCGAGCTTCACTCGAATTGCGGACCTCCTCTTAGGGCCTTGAAGAAATAAGAGCCCCGAACTGCTGATTTAGAAAAGAATCTGTTCAAAGCTGCCATCCTCCCAATTAAGTGCTGTAGCTCCTTAATATTTTAGGGAGGAGCCATGTTCATGATGGCCTTGATTTTGTCCGGATTAGCTCTTACCCCTTCTTTGGAGAGCCAAGGTACATTCCCGACCTGACCCCAAAAGTACATTTCTTGGGGTTTAGCCGCATCCGTGAGCTCCGAAGGACATCGAAGATTTCCCTAAGATCAGCAATGAACTGCTCCTGAGTCCGGCTCTTCACCAACATGTCATCCACGTAGACCTCTATATTTCGACCGATCTGGTCCTTAAATAGTCTATTGGCCAGCCTCTAGTAGGTCGCGCCTATATTGTTCAGCCCAAATGGCATGGTGACATAACAATAAGTGTCGTTCTCGGTGATAAACGAGATCTTCTCCTGATTCTTCTCGTCCAGGGCTATCTGATGATACCCTTTGAAGGCGTCCAAAAAACAAAAAATCTCGTATCCCGAAATTGAATCCACAAGCTGATCAATCCGCAGGAGGGGGTAACAGTCCTTTGGGCAAGTCTTATTTAAGTCAGTGAAATCCACGCACATTCTCCAAACTCTTTCTTCCATCTTGACCAGTACCGGATTGGCCAACCAGGTCGGGTAATAGATCTCTTTCACGATCTTGGCTTTTAACAGCTTGCCTACCTCACTTTTGACGACCTCGTTTCGTTCAAGAGCAAAGTTTCTCTTTTTCTGTTTCACCCGTCGGACGTTGGGATCCACATGTAGCTTGTAAACCGCTAGTTCGGTGGGGATCTCTGGCATGTCATCAGCACTCTAAACAAAGATCTCCGCGTATTCTTCTAAAAGGGATTCTAGAGAGTTTCAGGTCAGCTCGCTTAGGCAGGTACCGACCTTAACCGTGGGCTCAGGTCGGTCTGGGCGGACGGGCAGCTCAACCAGCACCTCATCCGTCTCCAGTTTCTCTCTTTTTTTCATAGGCTTCCAGGGCTCCAAACAAGCTGTTTGAGCTACCAATTTTTCCTTGCCCTTGAGAGTTGCAATATAACAGACCCTAGACACCTCGGATCTCCGAGCACTTCAGCTACCCCGGCAGGGGTAGAAAACTTCATGCTGAGGTGCAAGGTGGAGCAGACAGCTCGGAGGGCGTTCAAGGTGGGCCGTCCCAAAATCATATTGTACGATGAGGGCTCTCTTACTACCGTGAAATTCATTGGCACAGTTCGGTACTTTGGTGACACCCCTACCGTGACCATGAGAGTTATCATTCCCTCCGGCCTCACCAAAGGACCAGCAAAGCCGATCAATGGAGTTCGGACCGGGACGAGCTGTCTGTCCTCCAGCTGCAACTCTTTAAAAGTCTTGTAGTACAATACATCGATGGCACTGCCATTGTCAATGTATTCCTTCTTCACCTTGTAGTTGTAGGTGATGACCTCTATCACGATGGCTTCGTGGTTATTAGAGGTCAGAGGGACTGCATCTTCAGGTCCATAAATGATTTCCTCGTACATCTTTAATCGTTTGCTCGAACTCTCTCCACTGGGAGGACGGCGGTTGTGCCGCCGAGCTGTATGACTATCCCCTCCAACCGGTCCTCTTGCAATAGTATTGATCACCCCAACCAGATTCTGAGCTTTCTGCTTGGGAGTTCGGCCACGGGGCCCCTGAGCTTGGTCACGGGAGTAGCTCAGGTGCTCTGGTTTGGGCCTCCCCCGTCGCTGGTCAGTTCGCTCATCACGTATGATGATACGAAATATGGGCCGCTTATAGGCCATGTTTCGGGCTGCAAGAGAATGAATATTTTAGTAATAGTTTAGTAGTTTATTTTTCAGATTTCTATTTTATTTGGTAGGAATAAGTTCGGTCCAAGACCTCATGTTGAGTTGGATCCGATTTATAGAGTCTAGGCTCACTATTACTTAAGTTGGTTAATTAGCTTTTATTGGGTTATGTTGGGCAAGCTTAAAGCCTTCATTGGGTCGATTATAAGCTGTCCATTATTTAGCCCTAGCTATGATTAGCGAGTCATTAGTTTAGTTGTCAAATCGAATAAGGAAACTTGCATTGTTTCCAACTTAGATTAGGTTTGCTTCTTTGTAAGGCTATAAATAGCCAAGTTTTGATAATTTAAGGTAGACACTTTTATGATAAAAATATTGAGAGAGTTTTCTCCATAGCTTTCGAGCAATCCTTGAACAACTTAGAGTTATACTCTAGTGTTCTTGTTCGGCTTATCAATTCAAGAATCGCACTTGAATTGTGGCGCCTTCTACACTTTCCTAATGTTCGCTAATTCGTTTGATTACGGGTTGAGATAATATCAACAAGTTCGTAGTCACGGGGATTAGAGGGGTCGTAGGGTTTCCGCTGCTACCGTTCTTGCGTTCGAAGTCAAATCCAACAAGTGATCTTGGGTCGCGAATCTCCTCACCAACGAGATTCGTATCAGCTGGCATCAGAGCTAGCTTGTTGGTAACATCGTTATCCCTCTTTTTGTGTACTAATTCGTGTCTGTCTTATTAGTTCAAATAAAAAAAAAAACCAGAAGCAAGACCCAAAGAAAAAAAAATTACAGCCGCAACTAGGGTCTTCTTCCTTTCTTGCCGCAACTAGGATTTTCCTTTTGGCGTTGAGCTGTGCGCCAATCTGCCAGGAATGTCAGTCACTAGATGGCTCTAGTTTCTGTCCAGTTTGTAGTTTAATTCATGTGGGGTCTTGTGTGTTTGGACTGTATACAAAAAAAAAAAAAAAAAAGGAAAGCAGTCGCGTACCTTGAAGCCAAGTTGCTGGAATTCTTTTTTGCTTGACTGCCGAACCTGATTTGCCTTCACACCTTGATAGTCTGTGTTGTTTCTTGCAAGTGGAATACCAAAACATACTTGGGAAGTTCAGGAAGCCGCACAAGAAAGGAAAAGAAAAAAAAAAGAAAAAGGAAACCAAAAAAAAAGTAGAGAGAAACAGCCGCTGGAGGACTTCCAATCCTGATTGATTTCTAAATCCAAAGGGGTTTCCATTCTTATTGCTTCCTGATTTGTAGCCCCCACTTACCCATATTGATACCTTGGCATTTGAACCGCACCTCTGCATAACAAACAGACCCCAAACCAGCCCCAACCAGCCGCACCACACCTTGTTACCTAGACAGCCACACTACAAACCAGTTCCTAAACAAAACCCACCGCCCACTAGCACTTGTTTCCCACTTTGGCTACAACACCTTGTGCCCCATTGTCAATTACTATCAAGGGCTAACCGACCCATTCTTCAGCATTCCACACAAAACCAATTCTCCATAAAAACCCCAGCCGAACCCAAGGCAGTGGTAAAATGAAATTCCAGTTATAAACATCCGTCTTAAGGACCAGGTTTTGTGTCTCAAATTTCCAGTTTTAAGTGTCGGACAATTGTTCATTATTGTGTCATGCAACTAGTACTTCTTGAGTCAATCATCTAAGCACTCTTCCCCCAAATTTCCAGCATTATTTATTCCATTTTCCAGCCTCGTTTACTTCACTCCAAAGCTGATCGAACCACATATTAGTGGGTCTTGTGCGAAGCTAGTTGACTTCTTGGGGAAATTCTTCTAATTTCTTCAAGGGAAGCAAGCGGGGCCTTGAGGACAAAGTTGTGAGGACTACTTGAGGGAAAATTAGAGCACAAACACGAGTGACGAGTGCATACACGCGAGCTTGTGTGTTGTGAGAAATTTCTCTTCTCTGCTAACCAATTTTGCAGGTCACTTAACCATGCCTCGTGGAGTTGCATCTCATTCATATCATCAAGAATTCTTAGAGAACGAGCCTCTTAAGAGGAGGGCTTC